GAACCAGCAGTCATTGATCTGCGACTCGAGTTCACAAAGCGTCACCTCTGCGTTTTCTTACATTAAGAAAACTTGCAGTGTTCGGTGGTTGCTGCCTCTGAATAATACTACTACTTCACAGTTAGAGTTCATCCCCTAGGTTACTTTAGTCTTATATTCCGTTGGCCCGTTCACAAAATCATCCGCGATCCCATATGTTCCAAATACTTTGGTCAACTGGGAAGAAAGGTTTCTATGTCAGAGTAGACTAAGATGTCATAAACCTGACAGTCATTGTTGTCTGAAAATGAACACTTACAGTAGTCGTCGGTTATTAAGCCCACCTCGGGCCCAGACCAAATTGGGCTTAATAACTGGCGACTACTCTATTAGGGAAGGCATAATTTGCATAATGCCAATGTACTGTTTCTCGTTGCTATGCCATTGTAATCTTTAGCTTCCGTTTTGCCTTCTAATTGCCTTTAAAAGAAGCACTACCCATTTTGATTATAGGAACGCGCCTGCTTCATCAGTCTGAGTCCTGGCAAAGTCGAAGCCGTAGACGCCCAGGCCTCCTATCCTCTACCCGATGGTTCCACGCTGGAGATTGGTCCTGCGAGGTTTAAGGCTCCGGAACTACTCTTCCGGCCTGATTTAATTGGAGAAGAATTCTTCGGCATTCACCAGGTAAACACTGTGCTAAGGTGCACACTTTCTGTAACAGGCATCCTGTCTTGGTGAAATGCATAGTTAACAAGACTTCCCAATGACAACCTGGCAAAAGATCGATTTTCAACTTGTCAGGCATTCAGCCACGCTGCAAAATAAGTTTTGATGTACGCGTATGTACTGTAAAAATAACGTCGAATCCGCACGCCAATCCTCTGAAGTGCGTGAAAATGTCATTCGTCAATACAGAGGCACGAATCTGTAGAAAAGTATCCGGCAAACGACGATTATTTCCAAAATGGCATCCTCTCAGGAAGATTTTCCATTTTATACAAAATTTGATTGGATAAGATGCCTGTTGCCTTCTAAACGCTTAGTGAAGTCTCCTTAATCGCGCCATACTGGGCCGAAACGTTTTGGACCAGTTTACCTATTCCAGAATTAAAGGGGAGACCTTTCGAATAAGTGTATTTCTTTTATCGTCTGGAGCTTTCCGTTTTCGTTTCCATTTGTGGAATTTTCCCTGGCACACTTCGAAAAGTTTGTTTTGCTGTCCTATAGCATGCGTAATCGCAGGCTTTCATACGTCTGCTTTCTCTCCGTGTTGTTGATTACTAGAGGTTGCCCCACTGGCGTCTGGAGTTCGACAAGGATGCCCTCTTTCCCGAGTTCTCTTCAACTTTTTTATCGACTTGGCGATACATCAGCCAGTTCTACCTGGTAGTTGATGTTAAATGCACCCTTCATTCTGAGTTCCTGACCTGAGGTATGCAGATGAAATTGTCGTACTTAGTGATACCCCTCAGTAACTATAGCAAACGCTGGACTGAATCACCAGCTTCGCTGCAACTGTTAGTCTGACGATCAATATACGGAAGACTACGTTTCTGATTACGCATCTTGGCACAGCACAACCTTTGTTTATCAGTGGTCAATCCATCGAAGAAGTTAGCTGCTTCCGCTACTTGGTCTCTAATATACTAGCCAACTGACAAGCCAAAGAAGAAATAAGGAACCGAATCTCGCAGGCTCGAAATGCATTTAGGCTGCTAGCCAGTTCATACTGGTTTCGCTCAGACATCAGCTTACGTACTAAGCTCTTAATATACAGAGAATTCATCCGACCGGTTTTAGTATATGTCTGCGAAACATGGCCAGTGAGAAAGGCAGACATTCTATCGCTCGAAGTCTGATGTTGTTGTTGTACTAGCTTACTTCCTTAGCCTAGTTTGCCAGCAATACATGTTATAGAATTTTTAAGAAAGATGAAGGGAT